ATCTATATATAGCCCCTGACTCCTTCTGAGTTCCTGACACTTCTGGGATGGCGAGATAGGTAGTGCCCTGCCTGTGCACTGCGCACCGCGACTGTTGGGTGATTGTACAGTGGAAAGGAGTCCGGGGCCAGCTGGGGCAGGATCTCATGAACCAGAGACATCTTCCACGGAAACTCAAGGGCCAGCCATGTCGCCAGCTGTTCCTTTTGTCAAGTAAGGACTTGTACAAACAGGATCACTTATTATCGCCATCGTGTCATAAAAGAAACACTCTGTTAATGCCAAAAAAAAGAAGAAATTGCATAATCTTAGAATGAAGGGCCAGCCAGGAAATTGAGTACATTTTTTAATGGAAAATTCAGTGCAGGGTCCTAGCTGTTCTAATTCTTCCAGAATCTGATGAAAACAGTGATGGACAACACGTGCCCCTGGGGCCTGGTGGTGGAGAGTCCCAGACCCTAAAGCTTTGAGGTGCTGACCACACCTAGGGCGGAAGGGTGGACAGATGGACAGATGGCCCGAGGTCGGGAGGCTGGGCGTTATGCTGGGTCCTGTGGGTGTGGGGTGAAGAGGATACCTAGCCCCTCTCTGAGATGCAGCTGGCTTATCTGCAAATAGGGATGCTGACTCCCACCTCGCAGGATGGTACTGAGAGTGAGACGGGGCAATGGATGAGAATTTGCAGTAGCTCTGTTGTCGGGACGAGAAGTCCTCGTCACGATCCTCTTTGCAGGTTGCACAGGTAGGGTGGTCCTGGGGCCCCTGGAGTTGCCTGGGTCAGGGTTCTGGGGATGCACTGGAGTTAGTGGGCAGCTGGGAGCACGCAGAAGTGTGTCCTAAGGAGGCCTGCCAGAAAAAGAAATTACCAATGCTGATATGAGTTGAATGGAGTCCCCTCAAAATATATATTGAAATCCTAACCCCTGGTGCCTTGGAATGTGACCTCATTTTTATTTCTTTCTTTCTTTATTGGCTGTGTTGGGTCTTCCTTGCTGCACGCGGGCTTTCCCTAGTTGCAGCGAGCGGGGGCTCCTCTTTGTTGTGGTGCGCGGGCTTCTCATTGCGGTGGCTTCTCTTGTTGCAGAGCACGGGCTCTAGGCACCCGGGCTTCAGTAGTTGCGGTACACGGGCTCCGTAGTTGTGGCTCACAGGCTCTAGAGCACAGGCTCCGTAGTTATGGTGCACGGGCTTAGTTGCTCTGCGGCATGTGGGATCTTCCCGGACCAGGGCTTGAACCCGTGTCCCCTGCATTGGCAGGTGGATTCTTAACCACTGCACCACCAGAGAAGCCCCATGACCTCATTTTGATATAGGGTCCTTGCAGATATAATTAGTTAAGATGCAGTCATACTGGATTAGAGTGAGCCCCAATCCAATATGACTGGTGTCCTGGTAAGAACAGACACAGGCAGACGGCCATGTGACAACAGAGACAGCGATGGCAGTGCTGCAGCTACAAGTGGAGGAAGCCAAGGGTGGCCCAGGGGAAGGCCACGAAGGATCCTCCGACACCTCTACTTCAGACTTCTAGCCTCCAGAATTTTGTGGCAGTACTCCGTTACGGCAGCCTTGCAAACTGCCACAAATGCCTAACGCAGGTAGGGCACAGAGTGGGAGCTTGATAAATGTTTGCTGAGGGAATGATGTTTATTGAGTGCCTGCTGTATAGCAGGCAAGGAGCTGAGGATTTAATGAGAGATGAACTTTCCCGTGTGTTTGCTCCGTGCCGTGTGCTCCTGTGAGCACTATAGGGTACTCATTCATCGATGCACAGGACAATGCTTTGAGGAGAGTACTACTGCTGTTCTCATTTTATGCAGGAGAAAACCAAGACACGGAGTGACAAGCCACTTGCTAGGGTCTTGTAAGCTGCTCTAAGTCCAGAGCCCTGGCTGGTCAGCACTGCAATACTGCTGCTGATGGCACGGTATACAGTAGGTGCTCAATAGATGCTGACTACCCCATACGTGTTCACTGCTTTTCCCCAGCTGTGCTGAGAAGGTTCTGGGATTCTATGACAGTCCTTGGTTTTCAAACAAGAGAAGGATTTCCTTTCCCACCTCAGGCTGCCAGAGCCTCTGGTTTGCTGGTTGAGATACACTGAATAAGGGCTGATTTGATTCTATCTTTAAAAATGTCACTTCCTCCAAGAGGCCTTCCCTGACCAGCCCTCATCTCTATTAGCATCCTGTTGTAGATTGAATTAGGTCCCCCCCAAAAGATATGTGAAGGTCCTAACCCCTGCTATCTGTGAATATGACCTAATTTGGAAATAGGGTCTTTGCCAATGCAAGCAAATTAAGAAAAGGTCATGTTAGATTAGGGTGGGCCCTAATGTGACATGATGGGTGTCCTTATAAGAAGAGACACAGAGAGCTTCCCTGGTGGCACAGTGGTTAAGAATCCACCTGCCAATGCAGGGGACACGGGTTTGAGCCCTGGTCCAGGAAGATCCCACATGCCGTGGAGCAACTAAGCCCGTGCACCACAGCTACTGAGCCTGCACTCTAGAACCTGTGAGCCACAACCCCTGAAGCCCGGGTGCCTAGAGCCCGTGCTCTCCAACAAGAGAAGCCACCGCAATGAGAAGCCTGTGCACTGCAACAAAGAATAGCCCCTGCTCACTGCAACTAGAGAAAGCCAGCGCGCAGCAACAAAGACCCAAATACAGCCAAAATAAATAAATTAATTAAATAAATTAAAAAGAAGAAGAAGAGGCACAGAGATACACAAGGAAAATGCCATGTGATGAAGGAAGCAGAGATTATAGTGATGCATTTAAGAACCAAGGAATGCCAAGGATTGCTAATCAGCACCAGAGCTGGAGGGAGACCTGGAAGAGACCTTCCCTGGGCCTCCAGAGAGAGTGTAGCCCTGCGAGCACCTTGATTTCACACGTCTGGCCTCTAGAACTAAGAGAGGACGTATTTCTCTTGTTTTAAGCCACCCAGTTTGTTGTACTTTGTTATAGCAGCCCCAGGAAATGAATATATACCCCAAGCTTTGCCACAGGCTGACTGTGGTCATCCTCTTCTAACCTCTACCCCACGTTCTTCCAGCATATTCTAGAACTCAGGTATCTGAACTTCCCCAATTTAATAGTTCAGATGACATGAACATTCTCCCCTCTGTGCATTACATCTCTGTGTATGCAGGGCAAGGAGGTGCAGTTCTAGAAAAATCAAGGGCTCTGGAGTCAGCCAGTAGCGGATTAGGTGCTCAGCTCTGTCACTTACCGGCGCTAAGAACTTGGGCCCACCAGGCAACACCTCAAGCCGCCTCTTCCAGAAAAGTGGCCACAATGGCACTGCCTTGAGAGATGTGAGGACTAAGTGGGACAGTTGTGCAAACACCTGGAGAGTACCTGATTCTACCTGATCTTCAACAAACGTTTCTTGAATTGAAATGAATAAAATAACAAACCCCCAGTGGGGCGGTTCATTCAACAGATGAAATTAAATTTCTGTTAATATCATAGGCTCACAAAATTGAAAAGATTAATTGCACCATATTTTCACCTGCAATTTAGATACATGGGGAAAGAATAACTCAATTATACCGGGTTTTGTACTTTCTAAAAAGAAAAAAATGTCAAAGGGAGGTAAGTTATTCTTTCCCTACATAAAGTGAATTCACTGCTCATTAACATGGCTCTGCTTTTGTATTCTTCAGCTTCCTAAATATAAGAGGCCCGATTTATACACCCCATTTGAACACTTTTAGAATGCCTCAAAATTAGTGTTGATTTAATTTATTTTCACCAGAGATTTGCAAAATATTTGCCTATTTTGAACTGTAGGTGATTCATTCGGGGAGAGAATAGGTGGTGTCTGCAGGGCGGGTGCTCCCCGATGCACAAAACCGAGCAAGCGGGGAGGAGATGGGGGCTTGCAGGGACACTTCCCCAGCCTCCCGCCTCTAGGTGCACCCTTCCCACCCCGCCAGGGGCTTCTCCTGGGTGCAACCTTTCCCTGAGTCTGCATCACCCAGAGAAGAAAGCTGAAGCTCCTTGGCTCGGTTGGGATGCCCTTCATGAACTAGCCCAGGCTTGTCACACAGTGCACCTGTCCCCTCGTGCTCACCTGCCTCACTCCAGCCCGCCACCTAGTGGCTCAGAGCCGCACAAACAGGCATCAGTCTGCGCAGCCTGGTTACCAAAGCCCCTCCCTCCAAGTTCCTGTGGAGCCTCCCATTTCCTAGGAAGGCATTCATTTGCTCAGCCCTCCCCCTCCTTCCCAGCCCGGGAGGGCTCCTCTGGGCTGACACAGCCTCCCCTCTACCTGCTGCTCCACAGCGCCTGGAAGGCAAAAACCCTTCGGACAGACCCCATCCCAATCCAGTGCCTGTTCGTCCCATTGAATTGAAAAACAAGGCCTCCAGTAACACAATCAATTCATTAATATCTGAGGTCCTCGAAATTGAGCATATTTTTGAGTGGAAGTTTATTAAATGTTTGTGAATGAATGAATGAGTTAGTGGGTAAGTGAGTGACTGAATCAGGTGTTCTCCTTTGGAAGATTTTTCAAGCCCTAAGATGTAATCAAATTATATTAGCTGCAGCAAATCTTTTTAAAACCCTCACATTGAGAGCAAATTTAATTATATTATTTTAAAAATTCCCCAAGATGCAATAAAGTGCAGTGAAGTCCTTTCCATAATCCTGATATGACCAGCTAATGCTGTTAAATCAGAATTTTATAAGCACGGTTATATTGGATCTGATTTCACTGAATTTTATCATAAGATGATACATTTGTTTTGAACTGAAATCTATAGTTCTTAGGCACTTACCATTCGTCAAGCACCATGCTGGGCACTTTTATATACATTCCATCATCGTACGGGATGCTGGGCCCAGGTGATGCGTCATCCTGAACGTTTTCTTCATTAGTCATCACCATCACCATCAGCACCGTACTGTCACCATCATCACCATCCTCAGCAGCAGCATCTCCATCATTAGCAACATCACCATCACCACCTCCACCACCATCACCACACCACCATCATTACCATTATCACCATCATCACTATCATTATCACCACCACCATTACCACTGTCACCACCATAATCAACACCATCATCACTGTCACCACCACCATTATCACTATTACCATCACCACCAGAACAACTAATATTGGGCACTTACTCCATGTCAGGTACTTGCCTCAGTATTTAACGTGTTTTTTTCAGGTAGATCTCAACACACCCCATAAAACAGACACAATTATTATCTCAATTTTTAATAGAAGAGGAAACTAATATTAGGATAAACTCAGGGATTTTCTCAAATACCCAGCTAGTGAGTGAAAGAGCTGAAAATCAAATCAGATGCTTAGTCTCATTCATTCATTCAGCAAATACTTTCTGAGAGGGTCTCCTAGTATCAGGCACCAATCCAGGGGCTGAGAGGTACAGAACTAAGAAGACAGAGGCAGGAGGTTTACATTCCACAGGGCATGTGTATGTGTGTGTGTGTAAGGGCAGATGCATGTGTGTGCATGTATGTGTATGTGCATGCCTTCAAGCAAGCATGGGTGTGTACATCTGAGTGAGGCAAAGACGTAGACAATGAAGAAGTAAACAAATAAATGAACAAAGACAATTTCAGAGAGATACAAGTGCTGTGATTCAATTAAAGCAGGGTGATGCGACAAAGGTGGCGAGGCAGGGCTACTTGAGACTGGCTGGTCAGGGAATACCTGTGTAGGTGACATTTGAATTGAGACTGAAAATACAAGAAGGGGTTGACCTGTTGGCGGAATTCCAGGGAGAGGGAACAGCGAATGCCAAAAACCCACACCAGCCACAATCCAGCCATGTTTGGAAGAGAAAGAGGCTAGTGAGTCTCCAGGGTCCTGAGCAGGGGAGAGAGTTGGGAGTAAGGTTGGGATGAGCGGCAAGGCCAGGCCATGTGGGTAAGGGTTGGAGTTTGGGTTTATTCTGTGTGCAGTGGGAAGGGTTTTGAGTAGGTCAATGGCATGGTCTTTCTTATGTGTTAAAAGGCCATCCATGCTGCTGTGTAGAGACAGAATTGAAGGGAAGCAGGATTAAAGATGGGGACACCAGTCTGAAGGAGCCTGTGGTCATCCAGGCAAGAGACGGTAGTTGTCCAGACTGTGGTGATGACCATGGAAGTGGGGGAATAGAAGCATTTGAGATCCATTGGGGAAACGGAGTCAACAAGAACTGATCAGTTAGACATGGGGGTGCAAGAAAGAAGGCTAAAGACCCTGATGACAGCAAACACTTACCCAAGGCCAGACACCGTTCAGGTGTGTTGTTGGAATAGAAGAAAAGAGAAGGAAGGTACCTCTGTTGGCACTGTGGAAACCAAAGGAGGAACTGAGGTATGGAGTGCTCAGCTCACACAGATAGAAGGGAGCAGAGACAGATTCAAGGGCAGGTGGAAAAGTGAGTCCAGGGTAGCCTTGTTCACACCTGATGGCTGTGAGCTCCTGGCAGGGGTGGCTTCATCAGATCAGAGGTAGGTGGGTCCCTTGAATGCAATTGGAATTTGTGTGGTTGGATTTCTGGGTAGATTTATTGAACGTGCCATTTCCTCTAGTGTAAAGGTTTATCTCCCATTTACTTATGCCACAGTCTGAATTGGTTTTTTTTCATTGCACTTACTGATTTCTAAATTTCCCATTTCAACTTTCCCTCTTGAATATCTCTTGTGTTTCAGCTCACAAATCCTTGACACACTGCTCTAGCCCTGTCTTTGGATTGTTATGGGAAAAATAGAGATGCAGACTAAGTCACCATCTCTCAAGAAAGTCTCCTGTTTGAGCCTTTTGTTTTCAAAGTTAGAGTGTTGTAACTTTGTAATTGTCCTTTCTCAACCACAGGAAACCCAGTTTCACCTAGCTTCCTGTCTGAAAAGTTTGAGATGTTTTCAACACTGTGGTTAAAACAATTGTTGGATTATCCTTCTTAAGAATTGAGCACTACATTGTCGTTGTTTTCACACCCTGACGTTCACTCTAACTTTGAGTCAGGTCTTTCAGTGTTATTGAATTTTCAGAGCTGAAAGGTACTTCAGCAATAAGATCAACCCTACCTTGTGATAGATGAGGAAACTGTGCTCTAAGCAAGATTTGCCCAGAGAATGAGGGCTGATCTTGAACAGGACCAGTTTAGGATAGGACATGGGGAGTGGATAGATGGGCCTTACTTAGTGTATCAGTTAGATGTCACTGTGTAACAAACCACCCCAGAATCTAGAGGTTGAAAACAGCAACCATTTATTTGCTCATGATTCTGTAATCTGGGCAGGTCTCAGCTGGGTGGTTCTTCTGCTGGTCAACCTGGGGTTACTCAGTGACCTCCAGCAGTCATGTGGATGCTGACTGGGATTCAAGATGCCCCAGCCAGGATGGTTAGAACAGCTGGAGGCAGACTGGGCTGCTATCTTTCCAAGGGAGAGTCCAGCAAGGTAGCAAGCCCTCTGCAACCTCATGAGGAAGGTCAAGAGGAACAGCTCGGCTAAGCCTAGTCAGTCTAAGAACCAGGGAAGGTGAAAAGACACTGCTATTTAAGGAAGAGTTTGTAATGCAGCAGCAGCTGACTGGAACACTTACCCAAGATCTTCCCTTTTCTGTCTCCATGTCTGAAAATTCTTTCCCCAGATCTTTCACAATTGACCCCTTCTCCTCAATGATCTCTTCAAAGGTCACTTCTCAAAGGCCTCATCAGTCCTGTGTGCTGGTTGCCTCAGTAGCTGCCTTGTGCTCTGAGTTCATGGGAACAGGATCTGGTGTGGACATTGGTGGAGGTGTGTTACAGGTGGGGTTTGTGTCAGCGGCTTGTCTTCTGCCTAAATGCCAAAGTCATAACACAGAGATCCATGTCAACATTTGAAATAAAAAAATTTTTATTAAGGTACAATTTCATGCAGTAAAGTGTATCCTGAGAGTATAATTTGATGAGTTTTGACAAATGTGTAACCTTTACCCAAATCAGCTATTGGACACCCCATCACCTCAAAAAGATCTCTGGCTCCCCTGTCCAGTCAATTGTCCTGTTCTTGAGACTTTGGTTTTTATTACTTTAAATTTCCTCCTCTGTACTTCAGATTGGGTAAATTCTATCGATCTCTCTTGAAGTTCACTGAGTTTTTCTTCTCGGATTTGTACTGCTTTTTAGTACATCTAGTGAATTTTTTATTCCAGGTGCAATATTTTTCAGATCTAGATTTCCCATTTAGTTCATTTAGTAGTTTCTATTTTTCTGCTGAGATTATCTTTTAATTCACTACAAACTTATTTTCCTTTACATCCTCGAGCACAGTGATAACAGCTCGTTTAAAATTATCAGCTGCAAATTCCAACATTTGGGGGCAGTCCCAGTTGATTCCTATGTTTCTTCTCCTGTCAAGTGATTTTGGTTTGTACCCTGAACTTTGTGAGCAAAATGTTGTAGACACTCTGGATTCTATTATGTTACACCTAAGAGTGTTGCCTTTTTTTGTTTTATAGATAGTTAACTTCTGAATTCAAACAGTAAATGTGTCCCTTGCTGAGCGGAGCAGCTAAAATCTCAGTTTAGTTCTTCTAAGCTTGTCAGAGCGGTTTGGTATCTGCCCTGTGAAGCCGCCTTCTCCTGCAGGGAGGAGAGGGGAAACCCTGGGAGACCCAGAAGAGGGACTGGACAGGTGTAGGGGCCAAGGGGCCAAGGGGCTGGGGAGGAAGGAAGGGAGGACCCTGTGCCTGTGTGACAGGGGATGCTCCAGGGCTCACTGGTTCCAGTGCTGAGAAGCTCTGAAGGCAGGAGTGTCATTCTGACATGGAAAGAAGCACTCTGTCCCGTTTGTCCTCTCCCTAGAAATCCACCACACCCCACTCTGCTCATCCCACTGCTCAGGCAGCCCTTCAGATCAGAAAGGACAGAGATGGTCCCTAGCCATCTCCTTTCCAGACCAAATCCCTCTTGATTTCTGGTTTAGATTTAGGGGCACCTGCTGCAATACCAGCCTCGTGAAGATAGATAATGAAGTCCCTCCCAGGATGGGGAAAGGTGACAAAAGTAACCAAGGCTCAGGGAAGAGACCTTTCCCTTGTTGGTAACTGTTGGAGTCACACTGTGTCCCCCCCACTGGCCCTCGCACAGCCTGGGAGCATCTTGGGCTCCACAGGTGTCTCTTGCACAAGAGAATGAGCCATCTGCTTGGGTGGCTTCTGCTGCCCTGGTTTCCCAGGCTCTGTACAGTCATCTGCTCCTACGCCTTGGAACGAACACTGAGGGTGTCACCTCTCACAGCCCCCTTGGCAAACTGCTGTCCCTCATTAATATTCCACAGCAAAGCCAGTGAATCATTCCCACCTCACTTCTGTTTTAAATCCTTGGCACTTTTAGTTTCTATTTTTATATATTTTAAAATTAAGGATTATTTGATACATACAAATAGATATACCATAATGCTGTGTAGATCATGAAGCAGAACAATAAGTAAAAACAGCTGTGGGGTTTCCCTGGTGGCACAGTGGTTGGGAATCCACCTGCCAGTGCAGGGGACACAGGTTCGAGCCCTGGTCTGGGAAGATCCCACATGCTGTGGAGCAACTAAGCACGTGCACCACAACTACCGAGCCACGTGCCACAACTGGTGAAGACCGTGTGCCTAGAGCCCGTGCTCCACAACAAGAGAAGCCACCGCAATGAGAAGCCCATGCACCACAACGAAGAGTAGCCCCCGCTCGCCACAACTACAGAAAGCCTGCGTGCAGCAACAAAGACCCAACACAGCCAAAAATAAATAAATGAAATAAATTTTTTAAAAATAATAATAATAAAATTAAATTAAAACAACTGTGACCCCTACCCTGAGCCTAGAACATACTATTCTATGTGCTCCTTCCTGCCCAAACCCTCCCCCTCCCCCTCCACAAAAGTAACCACTCTCTTGAATGGTATCTCTATCATCACCTTGTTTCTTTACAGTTTCATCACAAAGCTGAAGCCCTAAACCACCTAGTGCTTAGCTGAGCCTGGCTTTTGAACTTATGTAAACAGAACATTCTGTGTGTGTCCTTCAAGGAGTTGCCTTTTCCACTCAAGGTTGTGTGTTGATACGTGTAGCGTTCTGCGTTTCACTTTTACTGCTGTGCACCATTCCCTTATATGAATGTGCCAGACTTTATCCATCCTCTTGTGAGTGGACATTTGGGCTGTTGCCCATGCTTTGTTCTCAAGATGATGCCCTGTGGCCGTTACTGTACGTATCTCCCAGGATATGGGCTGTAAGAGTTTCTCTAGAGTGTCGACTAGAGAGAGATTGCTGGGTTTGGGGTGTCACGTCATCAGCTTTATTCATGGAACACTGACAGTGTTCTGAATCTGCTGTGCCGGTTGACTATCCCCAGCAACGAAAGACCTCACCAACTCTCCGTATTCACAGACCTTCTAGATTTTGCCAGTCTGGTGGGTGTTAATGGTCTTGCCTATGAATTTAGTTTAATTTTCCCTGGAGATCTTTTCATATGTTTCCAGGCACTTCTCATGGCCTCCTCTAGGAGACACCTGTTCCTGGTTTGGGCAAACATTTTTATCACCTTCTTTCACTTCTTGTTGACATTTAGAAGTTCTTTGTATATTTTCTGTATTAATCCCATGTTCATTGCGTATGTGGCAGAGGTATTCTCCCTGCATGTGTCTTGTCTTTGTGTATGGTGTCTTAAGTTCTTAAGTTAAGTAGCAGAATGTCTTCCTCTTTTGACTTAAGAAATTCCATCCCACCCCAGGGTCATAAGGATACTCTTTTATAATATCAAAGTGCAAAAAATGTTTCAAGCGCAAAAGGTTTTTCACATTTAAATCTTTAATTTGCTTAGAATTGATTTTTCTGTAGGGTTTGAGGTAGGGATCTAAATTATTTTTTTCCAAAAGGAGAACAAATCTTCCAGCACCATTAGTGAGTGACCTACTCTTTCCCACTGATTTATAACATCCTCTCCACATTACATCTAGTCTCCTTACATGTGTTGTCCTGATTCTATTCTGTTCCTAATTGTCTACCCTTGCACCAATATCACCCTGCCTTAAGGTTTATAATAAGCTTTATAATGTCTTGTTATCTGATCGTGCAAGTGCCCCTCCTCCTAAATCCATTCCTCTTCTAAAGATAAGTAACTAGCTACTCTATTCCTGCATTAGTGAACACACTCAACTGTTTGTCATACTGCCTTTGCACTGGTGCTGTTTCACTTCTCTGGGGCACCCCTCTCCCTCTTTCCTCTGAGTAACTCCCGCTGGATCATAGGCTCAAATCAAGCCTCATTGCCTGCAAGCCTCTGGAACCATCTTGCAAGACAAGCCAGGTAGTTATTCTTTTGGTATAACCCTCCTGCACTGAGTTGTTCTTGCTACTTTCTGCTCCCTCCCGCCTTGCCTCCCACTAGCCCTGACTTGCTTCATTTTCACACACGCATCAGGAGAGAGCTGGGAAAACTAGCCTAGAGCCTTCCTCCCTCCTGGACAGCGGTGCTGTTCCAAAGCCTTTGATCCCTTCTCTTGGAGCTGATGTTCTCCGCAGCCCGAGGAGAAAGGCTCGGGGACCTCTATCTCTATTTTCCAGGCAGAGGAAGTGTCCTCACCCCTCTCCCCTCGCCCCAGCATTGCTTTCCTTCTGAATCACTGCCAGAGCCTGGGATGAGCCCAGATGGGACTTCAAGCCTGTCCCCTCACTGGGAGGATGTGGGGCGCAGACAGAAATGTCACTCAGCCCACATGGGATCAGTCATCTCTCTGCACCAGGCCCTAGGCCTCCACCACGTGCCAGCACCACGCCCAGCACTGTTCCTTCTCTTGGGTCTCAGTTAGTGGACCTCACGTCCAGCCCATCAACGGCCTTGGCTGCCCCTGCCACCATGTCCCGGGGCCCAGCCTCCTCGCTGGTTGGTGTGGCCTTCACTTCGCTGACACCGACCTGCTGTCACTAGGGTGGGCTCTGGTGAGGCGGCCATGCCAGTGGCAGAGGGGCAGGCTGTGTGGCGGCCCCTCTGTAGCCTGGTCCAGGCTCTCACACCTGGACCAAAAGAGCTGCTGGCTGGCTCAGCAACACCATGGCCTCGGCTAGAGGACTCTCGTCCTGGTTGTGGAGGCCACTCGGCAGGCGGGCTGGCAGCTGGAGATAGGGCCCTCGGCCGGTGGGGAGCTCGTGGGCGGGGCCAGGCTCTTCTATGCCTCTTCCCGCACTTGCTCCCTCATGCCCAGTTTCCCTCGTGGCACAGGCACAGGGTTCTCCCTTCCTCCCCCCCAGCCCCTCTGCCCCTGCACCAGTCCAGTCCCGTTCCTGGGACTTTCAGTGTCTCCCCTCCTCTTGCCTGCAGCGAGTCACCAAGCCAGGCCACCAGTACCCCAGGCCCTGCAATTGCAACATCCCGGTCAGCAACCTGCCTCCGTCCTCACCCCCACGGCAGCCTCTGCTCCCAGCAGCCAGAGAGAGGCCTCCGGATCAAAACTTTCTGCTCCTGTCTCCCACTGGCTTCAAACCCTGGCGGCAGCAGCTCAGCACAGCTCTTTTGCTGGAGTCTGCACTGCGGGGTCAGACCCTGATTCTCCAGCCACACTGGATGGCGGGCAGCTAGGGAGGGGCCGGGTGCACCGTGCTCCCCTGTTTCCCATGCCTAGAGCCCAGCTGATGCCTTCCCACTCCTTCAGCCTCAGTGCAGGCAGCCCCCACTCCGTGAAGGCTGGTCTGGCCTGCCCAGTCATGTGGCCCTTCTCCAACCCGCCCTGTGCACCGCGAACATCTGTGCACGGTGTGGCTTGCCACTCTGTGGTGCAAGCATCTAGAGTTTGGTATCGGGTTTGTCTTGT